CTAATGAGACATTGAAAAGGAAAGAAGATGATATAAGCAGCAGGCTAGCAAATCTGACTTTGAAAGAAAAGGCGAGTAGTGTTTTATGGTGAGCTGTTTTTGGATTTCTCATAATTCATTTGTTTAAGTAAGTTTCTTTTATGTGCAGGAATATGATACTATGAGAATAAACCTAGAGATGAAGGAGAAGGAGTTACTTGCATTGGAAGAAAAGCTCAATGCTAGAGAAAGGGTGAGGCCTATATCACTGTTGATAGAGAGACATTGAAAGCAATTTGAACCTTATGCAATGATGCTGTATGGCGTTAAGTCTATACCTGATGTAGGTTTAATTTGGTCACAAAAGTAGCTGTGTCAGTGTATTTGGTATTCAAGAACTTTCTTTTCTTTTCTTCTTTACACTCTTCGTTTTATTCAATCTGTTTAAAGTCTATTTCCTGTTTGTTTCCCTCTTTGTGGATCTAATCTCCTTATTTTGTTAAAGAAGGCTTGGTATCCAGATTGAATTCATCATTCTATTATCATTGTCATGCTCCTGACTCTTTTCTTTTTCATGGGACCCACAGGTTGAGCTCCAGAAGATTATTGATGAACACAACGCCATTTTGGATGCAAAGAAATGCGAATTTGAGTTGGAAATTGATCAAAAGAGAAAATCCTTGGATGATGAATTGAGAAACAGGCTGGTTGATGTGGAGAAGAAGGAATCTGAAATCAATCACATGGAGGAGAAATTTGCAAAACGGGAGCAGGCGTTGGAAAAGAAAGGGGAAAAGGTCAGGGAAAAAGAGAAGGACTTTGAATCCAAAATGAAATCCTTGAAGGAAAAGGAGAAGTCCATTAAATCTGAGGAGAGGGACTTGGAAAGCGAGAAGAAACAACTAATTGCTGAAAAAGAGGATTTGGTTAGGCTTTTGGCTGAAGTTGAGAAGATTAGGGCTAATAATGAAGAACAGCTACAGAAGATTAGTGAGGAGAAGGACCGACTGATAGTAAGTGAAGAGGAGAAGTCAGAGTATCACCGGCTGCAGTCAGAGTTAAAACAGGAAATTGACAAGTACATGCAACAGAAAGAACTGCTTCTGAAGGAAGCTGAAGACTTGAAGCAGCAAAAGGAGCTTTTTGAGAGAGAGTGGGAAGAGCTGGATGACAAAAGAGCTGAGATTGAGAAAGAGCTGAAGAATGTAAATGAACAGAAGGAAGAAGTAGAAAAATGGAAACACGTTGAAGAAGAAAGGTTGAAAAGTGAAAAGGTGGTGGCTCAGGACCACATACAAAGGGAGCAAGATGATCTCAAATTGGCCAAGGAATCATTTGAAGCCCATATGGAGCATGAGAAGTCAGTATTAGCTGAGAAAGCTCAAAGTGAGAGAAGCCAAATGCTTCATGAATTGGAAACACGGAAAAGAGAACTTGAAACTGATATGCAGAATCGGTTGGAGGAGATGGAGAAACCCTTGCGTGAAAGAGAGAAGTCTTTTGCAGAAGAAAGAGAAAGAGAACTAGACAATGTTAATTACTTGAGAGAGGTAGCTAGAAGAGAAATGGAAGAAATTAAAGTTGAAAGACTTAAAATGGAAAAAGAAAGACAAGAAGCTGATGCAAATAAGGAGCATCTTGAAAGGCAACACATTGAAATAAGAAAAGACATTGATGAACTTCTTGAGCTTAGTCAGAAACTGAGAGACCAACGGGATCAATTTATTAACGAGAGAGAATCCTTTATTTCGTTTATTGAGAAATTCAAGAGTTGCACAAACTGTGGTGAAATGATCTCTGAGTTTGTGCTTTCTAATCTACGACCTTTAGCTGAAATTGAAAACGCAGAGGTTATTCCCCCACCAAGACTGGGTGATGACTATTTGAAGGGAGGTTTCAATGAAAATCTGGCTCAGAGGCAAAATAATGGGATATCTCTTGGTATTGATTCGAGATCTCCAGTTTCTGGTGGTACCATGTCTTGGCTCCGTAAATGCACCTCAAAGATATTTAATCTCTCACCAGGGAAAAAGATTGAGTTTGGCTCTCCTCAAAATTTGGCAAATGAAGCACCATTCTCTGGTGAGCAAAATGTAGAGGCATCCAAAAGAGGATGTGGCATTGAAAATGAGGCTGAACTATCTTTTGGAGTTGCAAGTGATTCTTTTGATGTCCAGAGGGTTCAATCCGACAACAGAATCAGAGAGGTTGAAGCTGTTCAATATCCTTCACCCGATGAACATAGCAACATGAATAGTGAGGCAACTGATCTTCCAGAAGATTCTCAGCCTTCTGATTTGAAGGGTGGTTACCAAAAGCCAAGTAGGAGAGGAGGCAGGAGAGGCAGGCCTGCAGTTAAGAGAACTCGCTCTGTGAAAGCAGTTGTTAAAGATGCTAAGGCTATACTTGGGGAGGCTTTTGAAACAAATGACAGTGAGTATGCAAATGGGACTGCCGAGGATTCTGTTGATATGCATACTGAAAGCCATGGTGGTTCTAGTCTTGCTGATAAAAGATCAGCTAGAAATGGACGGAAGCGTGGCCGTGCTCAGACATCTCAAATCGCTGTGAGTGGTGGGGATGATAGTGAAGGACGTTCTGACAGTGTCATGGGTGCCCAGCGCAAGAAGAGGCGAGAAAAAGTTCTTCCAGCTGAGCAAGCTCCAGGGGAAAGTCGATACAATCTACGGCGACCCAAAACGTAAGTATTTAAATTGTTATATCTTGAGTACCATGTACAAACATTGGAATGCATTGCAGTTTCTTGAATTGAAATATCATTTGTTTTAGGTTGGAATAAAGCTACCACAATTAAGAATTATTTCTAGAGCACTGTATCAGATCATGGATGTAAAAGTTATTTTTTAGCATCATGAAAGGGATAAAACTTATGATCCTGTTGCCATTCTATGGTGGTCATTCCATGAAACTAACTTGTAAGTTTACACTATGTGTGATCAGTGGAGTTACAGTTGCTGCTGCAAGTGCATCGCGTGACCTTGTCAAAGATAACGAGGAAGAGGTCGATAATGCTAGAGCTACTGAGCACTACTCTAAAGCTGCTCCTGCTACTTCAATAGGAGTTGGTAGCGAGAATGGTGGAAGCACACACTTTGTGCGGGTGAGTGTAGGCATCTTCACTAGCCCATTAAAATTTCACTAGATAGGATGTAGGGGTGTGTGTGTGTGGGTGTGAATGAGGCCCTTCTATTTGTTTTATGGATTAGAATCAATTTCTACCACACAAGTTCAATATGTTACTGAGAAGTTGGTCCGCCAGTATTTATCTTTAGGAGTGAATGATGTCTAAGAAAACATGTTAAGAGCTGCCCTGTCCTCACAGCACATGTTTTTATATCTTTCAAGAAGTCAAAAGCTGGTTCTTCAAAATATTTTTCTGATGTGATTTCTCTTTTTAACTTTGTGCTCAGTGTGGGACTCTTGGAGACACTCAAGATGGTGATGCAGATGCAATAAAAAATCTGGAAGAGAATACGGCAGTTAGTGAAGAGGTGAATGGTTCAACAGAAGGGGGTCAAGAGTATGTTGATGGAGATGAGTACAGGAGTGAATCCCAGAATGGTACTCCCATTGAAGAAGATGACGACGATGAAGAGTCTGAACATCCTGGAGAAGCCTCAATAGGAAAGAAGCTATGGACCTTCTTCACGACATAATAACAAAGACTTGTTTCCAGTAGGGGTGGCTTCAGTTGGAACTTGACTGCATCAACTTCTTTAGCTTTGCTGTTAGCTCTCTAATGTGTAGTATTGTGCATTATCGATTTAAGTGTAGTTAGAACTACGGAAGTATTTGAGGCGGAGGGATAGGGTTTTTGTTTACCCTCACTTTTCTTTTTCTTATTTTTTTTTAGGATTCAGGACAATATTGGGCTGTTTCTTATTTTTGTACGACAATGCTAGATATTCTTATGTAGCAGCAGCAGTAGCCAGTGCATATTTTATCGCTGGACTGAGAGCTCCGCCATTTCCACATTGTTTGTATCAAAGTTTGTATCTCTTTCGTTCTGGGCTGATTGTTTTAACTACCTCATCTCTCTCTCTCTCTCTCTCTCTCTCTCTCTCTCTCTGAGTTACAGTGATGATGGTATGATGGAGAAATTCAAAAGCCTGGTTTTGTTCACTCTCATCGATCTGAGTACCCAGATGCATGGCCACCCAATGGTACGCTTGTGTGTACCCATGTCAATCTTCAAATTCATGGTCATCCCAAGTATGAGCCTTGGAGTTTATGACGATTACTCATAGACATGGCCACCATTAGCTTGAGCTTCTGAATTGAGTATTTTTATGGTGAAAAAATAAGGGGTGGGAATTATGAGCCGGGCAATAAAGTCTACTTGTCCACGACAAGTGAAGTGACGAAGAAATGTGAAATTAAGAAGGATTTTCTTTTTGAACAAAATAGAAATTAAAATACAATGACTGCATTTAAGTATGGATGTTTCCAATGTGAATTAATAAATTTTTTTTATATTAATACTTAATATAAGGTGCAATCTCAACCATTTTGAACTGTTTTAATCCGAAGGTGCGTTAGTGTTTGTCCTAAGAAAAATTTGCTAATAGTATGTATGCCATCAGTAGTTGCAGCAGTAGCTAACTGGATAACATGCTTCAGACAAGACCTGTGAAGAACGCAAATTTTTTAGGCAATCCATGTGATTAGAGATCAAGGTTTTTGGTTTTGTTTTGCTTAAGCTAATTCACCGAATATTGAACGAAATAAAGGAATTTCATAATATAAATGGTCCGAGAGGATGTTGCATTTCTGTTTAATACAGTTTTTCTTTGTTTCCTTGATCAACACAAATATTGGCCAAGGGCAAGGTGGTGTATTGAAAACTAGAGAACTACAGAGAGGTAAGATGTCGGATGAAATTAGGCTTTCTTCTTTCTGGTACTTATTCTGCTTCTATCATACACAGTTTATTTTCCTTCCACCTGTATACTTTCCACAATAATAACAATAAACAACAATGGTTTTACATGCAGAAAATACAGTAATGGTTGAATCATTGGAAGATCATATCAGAATGTTAAAGAATGAGTTTATACATCAATTGGATTGCCTCAAACTAGAAATTCTGATTTACCTAATTCTAAATCTGTATTCATGTACTGATGTCCAAGAAAACTACAATCTTCAGGAAAGGTGACCGTATGTAAGGGCTAAAGAATGAGGTCAAGGCATCAAAACTAGACTATAAATAATAAAAGCAAACTTTTTCTAGGCCTATCTTGTTTTGGATCCATACCAGCTTTTTCTGGGTGTAGCTCATGACCAACTTGGAAAATCAGGCCCACAAATCACAACCCTTTCGAAGGTACTAAGTTTGTATACATGCGGTTGGTAACAGACTGAGATTTACTTGTTTTTATTTGACAAAATTTTTGAGCCCTGCTAAACTAAACCAGAAATTATTCTGCTTCTCAACTTTCTATACACCAGGCTGCTGGTGTTGACAATCCCGTCCTATCTGTACACTTGAGACTATCAATTGGTAGCAACCTTCGCTGTTCACTATCCGACTAATTCTGCAACCGTAGTTCTGCATGCTTCTTCAGATCTCATCCCTTCAAAATCAACACCAAATCAACCGATAAATGAGTGAACATTAGAACAATTATTGTGATGCAGGTAATAAGAATAAAAGGAAATACCTAGGAAGCAGTAGAACCTCTTTTTTCTATCCTCTTTGCAGAGATGGAGGGGGTGGTGGCTAAGTGCAGAGAATGTAACTCACATGCACCGTCGTATGCCACAATTTGATTCTCTACAGTTTCTCGAATGCAGATTTATCACGTACCATGCCTTCTTACAGTATTGACAACCTCCAGTAGTCCGAATAGTGCACTTTGTTGCATGGCAGAGTAGCTTTTTTATTTTGAGGCAGTTTGGGTAAGAGCAAGGCTGAATCTTGGTTGAGCAACATTTACGTGCGTGATGTAAAACATCCAGCAGTTCCCTTTTCTGCACCACATATATACACTACACTGAGCATCACAAAAACACATGCACCTACACACGCATTCAAACTGCAAACTTTTATTTGTAACTACTAAGCTACATGAATTATTGTTAATCCTTATCGCTATTAATATTATTATTATGGAAAGAGATGAAAATCATTGTTGTTAATAGAGACATGGACACACACAACATTCGAGGAGGATAGTATGGGTATTTAAAAATATAACTTACCATCAATGGTTTTTGTGGCGAGTCTCGACTCTCTGTCCTACAGCTAACTGTGGTAGAACTTTGAGTCAACTTATGAATGTGACAAGAACTTCCTTTCTCTTGATAGCATGCTGCACAAACACCAAACTCTGGGCAGATCTCACATACCCAGCTCTGAGCAACCACAGCATCCTTATGGCAAATACTGCATGTGTTCCCAGCAGTCAGCACAGTACCATTTCGGAGATGATGCAGAATCATTATTGAGGAATACTTCGCCCGGCGAAGTGTGTCAAACTGATAGTGATTTTTCTCACACAAGCTCAAGAAAGTATGCCTGTTCTCAAGTAAACGACTGTTTGAAATAACATCTTCGTCCTTAGTATCAGAAAGCACATTCTCCACCATAACCTGAAAAAGGGCAAAAGTCAAAGAAATGAGCAAAGATATGCTACTCTAACTTCAAGGAGAGTAATTATTTGAAGAATTGTTGCTAGGCTGGTTTGTAGTATCTCATATTTGCCACATATTATTAGAACACTAATTGACTGGTTTAGATTTTTACTAGAAGGGCAAAACTACCATACGGGCCTATAAGGTTTGGGATTCACCTGAGAAAGCACATGTTGTTCCATGTTGACTGATATGTGCATGTCCCTCCCAGAAATTTTGCGCTCGGCTTCATGGCATCTACAGCATACAAATTAAAGGAACAATAAATACAAATTTAAATTAAAAAATTTCCACTTCAATCAAGTTCTTAAACCCAGAAATACCATACTTCTGGACAACAGATTCTTGGCAAGAAAGACAAACAATGTGCCGCACATAATTCACAGGCGAAGAGAAGATTCAATTATTGAGAGACCAAAAAAAAAAAAAAAGATAGTCAATCAGTTCAACCTATAAAGCTAGTAGAACACTGAAGTACTATACAAGTATTATAAAGCTTCAGGGATAACTTGTGCACCCTTGTTCAACAAACTCAGTTCCATTTCCTATTTATTTATTTATTATTATTTGAATTACTTGTTCAACCTATGATGTAGTATTTACTCAAACCACATACAGACACATCTCCATCACTTTCAATTCTCAATGTACTGCACATTGTTGGGAATAAGATATCAATAACATAAGACTACAAGAGGGACCTCAGAACCTCCAGGCACCATAACTATTCTGATTAAAGGAGGGATATGAAGAGCAGGAAAGACCTGAGAGAAATTTGGTACCTTTCACAGAGGTGAAAATTTTTGCACTGACTGCAAGACCAGCGTCCCCCAGATAAGATTGCTTCATGGCAGTGGGAGCAAACATACTGCATGTCGACAATTATGAAGTCCTCCTTATTTGGTAAAATGGTCTGCCCCAGCTAAAAAGGAAGAGACACCAAAACAAACTGGAGAGTAAGTAGATGTCTAACAGGGGGAAATAGGGTAAATATTAATAGTATTAATGAAATTGACAATGCTGGTGCAGATGTTTCTTCCTGCCCAAGACCTATTCATTATATCATTGTTAAAAATTAAGGCGGCCACTACACTTGCTTGACTAGTGATATTGCAATCAAGGAATGGACATATTACCCAGGCATGCCTCAGCATTTGGATAACTTATTGCCCTCATTAAATCCCAGGGAAGTAGCAACTAAAAGTGGAAGGCGAGTATATGAATCAAGCATTAGTTATCTGCTTTATTTGTAACCTTATCTATCAGAATTCGCACACTTGTCGCTTTGTATATTTACTTATTAAGCCACCAAGTTTGCTTCATCTATAGTATGCAAAGTGAAGAATTAGAATATTAGAAGGTTGCTTTTAAGCCACCAATTTAGTAGGAAGAATTAGAAAGGGAAAGGTTAAGAATATTTACTTTCTGCATCAGTAGAATATCTTTGGTAGAGCCATCAGAAGGACTGGTATGTCCCATGGCTTTTAAAGTTCTCTTTGTTATTGTTTTCTTTGCTTTCTTCTTTGAGTCTGTCATCCTTTCTTTTTCAATGTTCCTGATCACATCCTCAGCAGTGGCAGACCAATAGTCACCATCAAAATACGGCAAACGAGCTGCTGTTACCTTGGAGTTGCATTCCCCAGTAGGGATAAAAAAGCGATCATATAAATTAGTGAAACTGACCACAATTTTTTCATTTGCTGCTTTTTTTATCATTGACTGATACCTGCACAAGTGAACTAGTTAAAATCAGTGAAGGCACATACGCAGAAATGAATGCACACATGCACAGAGAGACAAACACACAAGATAGGGGAATTGTGTGCACAGAGAGAGAGAAAGAGAGAGAGAGAGAGAGAGAGAGACCATTGCCGCAGCTTATCAGGCTTGGGTGTTTTCTGCATTTCTGGATGGCAGTATAAAATATAATCTTCTCCCTTCACAGGAGGGCACGCCCATATATAGGAGGTAATAAAACCTCTTTTCTTGCAAAACTCAAGGTAAGCTATCTGAAGACAAAAATTAGTAAAAAGAAAATTTGAGTTACCATTTGTCAATTAGCTGTACCAGTAACATAGGCTTAAATAATGATAGGGAAAAGAAGTAACTACCAATAACTCATGATAAACAAATGTACGAAGAGCTTCTCCATTCACAGTTTTTGTCTCTGGCCTGAAGTACTTAATAGAATCCAGATATGATATATAAACACAACGCTTATTCGGATGACTACATTCTGAGCCGAACTCTTGCACATACATTCCAAAAAGGCATACATCTACCCCTTCAATCTTCTGAAACAAAAGAATAACCTGAATGCAAAAAAAATAAAAATGGTATTAGGTTAACTATAATAAACAAGCAGTGACACTAAAATAGAAGAGATTCAGAGTGAGACAGGAGGAAAGTCTATAATAAATCAACAAAGAAATCTATGGATTGGTTAAAATTTTCCCACCTTTGATATGTATGGGAATTCAGCAGGGTAATTCTCGTCATGAAAGAGATCCAAAAACTTTTGATTCACTTTTAGTGTTTTTTGAACAGATAAAACCACTCTGACAACAAGATCTTCGACTCCTGGAACCTAACAACCCATCAAATCAAACAAAAGAAGTTAGCAGATAGAAGGGATTGTATACCATAAACACATTCCCTGTGAATATATAAACAGGAATTTCAGATGCCAATTTAATTTATATTGAGTGTCTTATTAGATTCGAATGTCCTTTTTCTACATTTTCAACATAATAAACCACTGAGACAACAAAATCCTTTGTTCCTGGAACCTAACATCTCATTGAAAGAAACATAGTAATAACAAACAAGAAGCTTCAAAGGACTGTAGATTATGAACCATCTCTGTATGAAGACAAGCAGCTTCAAACAAGAAACTTTATAACCGCTAGGCCCATGATTGAATTGATTAGGACATAACCGCTAGGCATTGACCTCAAGACGGATCTTAGTGGTCACAATATTTTTGTCCAACTCTAAAAACATAAAAAATTCTCTTAAAATGCAAAATAAATTAGATAAACTGAAAGTGCATCCTAAACAGAGTTTTATTCTTACCTCAAAAAATTCTTTTCCTTCGACCTTTGCTCTCTCTTCTCTCTCTTGCTTGAGGCGCCTAAAGAGTCTTTGTTCTATGTGGTCGCTAAGCATGGTAGTTGGTAGATCTTTTACACTGAAAACAGCATTATTTGATAAGTTCTTGAGCTCTCCACATTCTGTCTCTTTTGACAAGCATTTGAGACATATGCATTCAGCTTTGCCTTCCAAAGCACTTTTATCATTAAAGAGAGCACATATCTGATGTTGCCAGCCATTGCATTTATCACATTGAACCCACTGCAAGTACATAAAAAGCCTCAGGAATTGAGTCACTAATTTCAAGATTTCAGAAATAAAAAGACCAAATGACTTAAACTTACAGATTCTTCGGTTTCTTCATCATTCTTCTTTTTACTGAGTTTTGCCTTTGAAATGTGAATACCACGAAATGAGATATTTCCACCTCGAGACTCCTTATAGCACAACGTACAAACACAATATTGTGTATCATGCTCGTCTAGTGTGCAGTAATAGTTTACACTGCGCTTGATACGGGCACCACAGAATGAGCAATAGATTGGTGTGGGGGCAAAAAAAAGCTTACCCGACACACACAACTGACACACTTTCTCACTGTTTTCTCTTTCTTCCGTCACGATACTCTGTTTTCAAATAAAGGCATAAGAATAGTATTGTTCATGTTCAATCAATGCAAACCTAGACAAATATAAATTAGTTGAAACTCTTGGAGAAACTTAAAAAAAGCAACAACGGTGAATGGAAAAATTACTACCTGATCAATGCTCTGCCCAAGACTTGATAAATGTTCCTTGATTTGCTCTTCTGTGAAAATTTCAGTTAAAAGGGCACCCTTTGTCTCTGGATTCTGTGGCTTTATCACTTCCTTAAGATCAGAGTCTGGTATTGGCTCCGTTTGGTTGAACTCAGTCCTTTCTTCCCCCTCTTTAAATTCAACACTAAGCTCTTCTGAGAGCAAAGATAAACTCTTGAACCCCATTCCTCCAGGAACTTTTTTCACATTGTCTATAATTTCACTAGTGCTAGTAGGGTCTAATTGCTGCATCTGATGACAAATAAATACTCCTACAGAAGGAAGAGGCACACTTTCGGAATCCAGTTTATTGATATTATCAGAATCACATTTTCTAACATCACTGATCCCCGTGGAATCTTGTATAGAATTTTTAGCTGGTTCTATTTCCACATGCGTTACTTCCGAATTAATAGATACAGGAGATTTTGACTGTTGCTGCAGATATGAAAGTCCTTTAGGAGCACAAGGCTGGACAACTGAAGGAGCCAATAGATGAGAATTCTCATTTTTATTCTCCATCTTCAACCTTTTTGACGAAGGTGACATATCTTCAATATTTCCTGAACTGGGTTCATCTGAAGCATACTCTTGAGCACCATTTGACTGTCCTGGAGGAACCTGAGGCTGCAAATATGGATGAAGGGGTCGTTTTTGGTTATGTTGAGACTTTATCATCTGGGAACAAGATTGCACTATATCCTCAGAATTAATAGATAGAGGAGATTCAGATTGGTGCTGCAGATATGGAAGTCCTTCATAAGCACAATGTTGAACAACTGAAGAAGCCAAAAGATGAGAACTCTTATTTTTATTCTCCATCTTCAACCTTTTTGACGAAGGCGGAATATCTTCAATATTTCCTGAACTGGGTCCATCTGAAGCGTACTCTTGAGCACCATGTGACTGTTCTGGAGGAACCTGTGGCTGCAAATATGGACAAAGGGGTCGTTTTTGGTTATGTTGAGACTTTATCATCCGGGAACAAGATTGCACTGTATCCTCAGAATTAATAGATAGAGGAGATTCAGATTGGTGCTGCAGATATGAAAGTCCTTCAGGAGCACAATGTTGAACAACTGAAGGGGCCAAAAGATGAACACTTCCATTTTTTTTCTCCATCTTCAACCTTTTCGACGAAGGAAGAATATCTTCAATGTTTCCTGAACTAGGACCATCTGAAGCACACTGTTGAGCAGCATGTGACTGTTCTGGAGGACCCCGAGGCTGCAAATATGAAGGATGGGGTCGGTTTTGGTTATGCTGAGACTTCATTATCAGGGAACAAGATTGCACTATATCCTCAAGAGTTGAGATCTCTTGGCTGAAGATTCTGCCAGGAAGAATATTAGAAACTTCAGGAACTTCTATTGGAATATGTTGGGGGATCAGCAAGTTAGAAGAGGAAACCGCTGAAAATTCTCCCACTGTAGATGGAAAAACCATGGATTGAGCATTCCCCAAACGACCTTTGAATTCATAGGATTCAATTTCACAAGAAAAAGTACTTGTCAGAACAAGAAAACAGTATACAGAAATGAAACCAAGAAAGAACCCAATAGAAAACGAGACCATATATTTGAGTGGATAGACTTGTTATGCGTAAGTATGTTTTCCATTACAATATATTTATTTATAGAAATCTAGATCCTCTAACATAGTTTCAAAAATAACTCTACATGACTCCATGCAGATTGGTGAACAGATACCTGCTTCAAAAGCACATATTGAATCAATGAACATACAATTCATCAATCAAGTTGATCAAACATAAGATGGGAGAACTTGGATCCAACTATGTGGTTACATAATATGAGTACAAGAATGCCACTTCTACCCCAGTCCAGTGAGTAAACTAAGACATCTGAGTCAAGCCATCCAAAATCAGAAAGAAGTATGCCATATTTCTTAGTTTTTATAAATAAATAAATAAAAAATCAGATACTATATTGTAGCTTATAGCTAAATCTGGTATCAATAATTTTCTCATCAGGCACTGCAGAAACTATGAAGTAGTCTAACACCAAGAAACTATACATGATCTGAGGACTTAAAACAAACAGAAGTTACAAAATAACACATTTTGTCAATCATGCAACTAAAACTCAAGTATGATTCATGACTTCATAAACTGGAAGAGGTTAAACATAATGCGTGCAAAAGCATACCATGGTCAAGATGTTGCTGTTGAACATGACAATCAAACAATATATCAGAACTGTAATGCAGATTCCCTTGAGGAGCGAATGTCCCATCATCAAAACCTCCAATAACAGAGAACTCATTGGCATTGGAATATGCAGTGATTGATGCTGAGGCATCCTCAAGAGGAAGAAAAATCTCAGAAGCAACCTGCATTAGGCCTGACGAAAAAGACATATCCAATTCATTGGAAGCAATGAATCTATTGGCATATCCCTGCTTATAACCATTAAAAGGTGACCCTACAACAGAAAATTCATTACTCCATTAGATAAATATGTCTATACTAACCAATTGTTAAATGAGTTTGTTTTGGAAAGTTAAAATGGCCCACCTTGTATGAGGTTAACGTGATCAGCATTGTTAGCTATGAAAGCATTATGACCAATGGAGTCATATTTACTAGTACCACTTAAGCAGTTAGACGGTGTTTCTGCAGCACCTGAATTGCAACAACTGTGAGGCAGCCCTGAAGTTGGCATTGGCGAACACAAAGGCAAACCTACTTGTTCATTGGAGTTTGCATCATATAGTTTATGCTGGAGTAAAATTTGCAGCCGATGAGACAGTGTCTCCTCATTCACATACTCCTCCTAGAATATATCCAAAAGTTAAAAGTTCAGGATATATAACATGTGCATTCATAAATTTTCAACTAGAGAAGATATAGCAGAATTATATCCTATAAGATTCAATGTAACAGGAACAAGAACAAAATCTAGTTAAATAAACAAACAAACTTCTCTAAATAAATATTCAATGTAATATAGAATAGCAGACCTCTGAAGTAGCCTCCATAAATAGCTGGTTTTCCAGGACACCCACAAAATCAGATGCTAGCTCTCCCAACACATAATTGGTACTTAGAAAGAAGATGTCAGAACTGCGGAAGAATTCCAAAAGTCAGAACAAATATACTAGTAGTGATTAAGATTTCACAAGTTTAGTCTAATATATCCACTTACATTCAAAATGAAAACTTACAAGACTTACATTTTTTTCCTAAACAAATTACGAACGCTGCTAACTCTAGGACCTTTGCGCCAATCACTCAAGTAGCCTAGTTGGCATTTTATTGACTGACGACGTAAACCATCCCCTCCCAGCAAAAACGGACTTGAATTCAGCACCGGGTAGTTAGATATATGGCCAAAGGTTTGGTCTGAATTGTATCTCTGTACATCCATCTTGCTGATTTTACGAGACTTCATTCATGCTGAAACTGTAAATTACCAAGAGTTGAGTACGAAAGGGAAGGAAGAATCAATCATAAGAGTTGTGAAAAGTGTAATTAAAATAGCTAAATACACAGAATTCATCAAAATAACTTAAGGAGCTTGATTATCTAAAACTAACAGAATGTTTGAGTGTGCATGAACACTGTGCAATTATTTAAGTTTCACCGCAACTTTTGGCAGAATCTAATTGCTTAGATCATTACATCATTGACAAACACACACTGTCTGTTCCTCAATAATAGTTCACTGCAATTTTCCATATTACAGTTTGGCAACCAGCTAGTGCGTGATTTACTGCACCAATATTTCTCGAGTCCTAGATCATTATTGCTCTGCTTATTCGAAATTATCCTCGTCAGTATTTGCGTGCAAGTAATTGTTATAACACTAATTACTTCCTCGTGAAACCATCAACGTCCAACAAATTTTAATGAATAACAAATTTTTATTCTTCTGAAAACTTACAAAATTAATCCGCTCAAATCCCAAATTTGCAAACACAATCATCACAAAACGAACGATATCCTTGAAAACCCATCAAAGTCCAAAGCATTCTAACAAATTAGGAATCTTTACCTTGCTGAGGTGAGACCTAATAAAACCAATTCCCTCAAACCCCAATCCAAAATTCAGTAATTTGTCGCTCAAATTACTTCACTAAGGGACCGTTAAATCGGTCAAATTGTCAGATTACGCAACCGAATTGTCAGAGAGGCAGATACAAGAATTCAGAATAAACGTCGCCGAATTCATAAACCCTAAAAACAGCAGAACCAGAAAGAAAAGGGGGAGAGCGAAAACCCTAAAATTGGAAATAAGGGTTTAAGGAAAGAAACCTGTTTTCTTTGCTTTTCTTTATTGGCTGTTTGAAGTTGAAGTTTGCCTCCACGACATTACCATGGGTGGTGGGCCACGAAGCTTTTTTAATGATTTATAAGTACTGTGAAGTTTGGAAGTACAAAGCAAAGCCAGAGTCTAATAGGAATAGCTACGACTTTTAAACTAAGGTGACTTTCTTTACCACAGGAGGAGACGGGTGTGTATATTACGAAACCACCCTTCCATATATTTTTCAACCTGGAAGCTTATCTGAAATTTATATTTAATCTTTTCAGAAAATAGAAATAGAACTTGTTAAACTTGAGCCCCAAGTTTCGAATATTAAATAGAAAAATAGGCCCATTATTTTGGTCATTAGTTACAAAACCCAACAAAATACAAACAAAAAGCCCAATTAGTTAGGGCTGGATGGAAATGGACCTATTTTTATCTCATAGGCTGAAATAACATCTTAGCATTGATATTCTTTCCAAAATAATGTTGTTTCGCCACCGGGATTTGGCTCAAAAGAGAAAGACTTCGGTTCAAACCTCTCATGACACTTAGCAGTGTGTGTGAGAAACCCCTTGTAATTTAGACTATCGCTTCCATTCAAAAATAAATAAATTATTGTTTCAAAAGTTTCTTAAGGCACATATGTATGTAAAAATTAGTGGACACCTAAATTTAACTACCTACTTCAATATGACTCCACCATAATATTTTAATAAGATATGCTGTAAAGTGTAATTGTTATTTACACTCACAACATAGAAAATTTCAAATTTTGCATATAATGATTTGAGAATATCTGATTTATTTATATGTAAACCAATTCTAGACATAATTTATTTGAGCAAACAAGAGTCATATTATTTAATGACAAATTCATAAACAAAGCAATGAAATTCAACTATTTTCCTTCTCTTTGCCCAGCAATTCACCTTACGAGACGACCTATTCTCAACAATTATAAGCCCGAACCCACCACCATCCACTGGAGTTCACAACAACTAAAGTGATTTTTAGTTTTGTTGAAAATTGTTGGCATCAATTCTCACCTTTATCGCAAGGGCCATCTCAATTAGTTAAAAAGCATTTAACCATGCATCCGAGATCTTAAGTTTGATTCCTCCTTCCCCCTGAATGAAATTAAAAAGATCAGATCAAATCAAATCTCGCCTTTCTATGAGTTTTGCGATGCTTAAATTCGAATGGTATTTCTACCACTTATGCAGGAAAATTCTAGTTAACAAATAAACAAAAGATTTCTTCAAGAAACAAATGGCATGAAATCAACCCAACATCTCATGACTTTTTAAACGAAGCCACAGCAACAGAAACAAGGAAAGAATGGAAGCAGTACATACAATTAGAGTAGCATACAACAACAGCTGATTAAAGAGCCATCTAAACTCATCAAGCTCTATCTAGTTATTTGTACAAATCCCTCCTTGGGTAAATTAAATCATCTCTACATCCATCACAACTAGCATCTTTACTAGTTACATGTCATTCTCATTACCTCCTACGGTGATGGCGATGCCTGTCTAGCCTATCCCTAGTTGAACTATCAAGGTCGTAGTCACTCCTGCTTTCATCATTCCAATTTTCGAAATTGGCCGAGTCATAATCCTTGGGCGAATGATGAGGATTTGAGTATGCAAAAGAACCTTCATTGGACAAAGGGATTCTTCTACCTCTGTCTGATTGGGACCTTCCAAAGGTAGGGCTTCTTGGTAAGTTGTAACCATAATCGTAACTACCATATCTTGGGGGGTAACTAGATGGGCCAGAACCTGGTTCAACGCCAGGAGGCCCGTCATCTCTATAATCCCTGGACCACCTTTGCTCACGGTGATGCCCTCTGCTGACAGGTTCTGAATAATGGTTCGCTCTGCTGTATGAGCGGTTCCTAGAGTGATCAGAAAACGAAGGTGCAGTTGCCCAAAGTCTCTCATCAGCATTTTCTGGGATTGGTCCGTTCAATCCTGGAAATTCGACTGTCATTTTCCTCTGTGGTTCAGGATAATCGGTTTCAATAATTTCCCCATCCTCCTGTTCTCCCTTAATTTCCTCATCAGCATAAATTATAATCCCTGATGGCTGATCCTCGTCATCTGGATCTAAAAATGTTAAGATAAAGCGTCAAGGCTAGAAAAAAGAATACAAATTTATAAATAAACCCAATTCTAGACATGTATTTATAAAAAAACCCAAACACTATTTAAACATAGAAACACACCCAAAATCAACCCCAAAGTCAACAATTGTATATTTTTTGGGTATGTTTATAAATGGGTTTTGAGTGTGTGTAATAATGGGTTTTGGGTGTGTTTATAAAGTGTTTTGGGTGTTGAGTTTTTTTATAATTTCAGCTCCCATTTTAAATGGAAAACAAAAAGGGAACAAGTCCAATAAACTAAGACTATGACTAGCAAGTAGCTTGTTGAAACTAAAACCCTAAGTTTGATAATTTCCAGAAAACAGGATGGTCAAGGGTCAGGAGATTAGCACAATACTCTCCATAAACTTAGCAATGAATCTGAAACATTTGAACTGGGTCTCTCCAGGAAATGCACACCCAGACTGCTTGTGGACTATGATAAGTATTCCTAACTGGTTGTTTTAAGTGACTAAAGTCAGTAAAATATATTCAAATACCTAGATATCCTGGTGGGTAACCAATTTCTCGCATTCTGTTAAGCCAAGGAGGTGGATCAAGCTCCTGCACAAAACCCAATAGATAAATAAATAAATAGATGCATATATAACTGAAACAAATTTAAATAGAACTTTCTTTTTGACAAAACAACTTCTAGAAAGGAAACCAAACTCTATCGGACCAAAAGAAAAAAAAAAGAACCAAACTCTAACATTAACCTTGGTAGATTCATCAAATTCATCTTCACATGTTAACTTGATATAATAAATTAAAAAAGCCATAGCATGTTTGGTTGCTAAGAAGGTTGTAATCTCAACCAAAGAAATGAGGGTGACAGTAGTTATACAGCTTCAGCAATGTGAAACTTAATATATTTGCGAAGCAATTTGAACTCAACTAAACTTACTGTATTTAATAGAAATGTAATAGTATAACCCTTATCGGCAAATCTTGCATTCCAATTAGACTACTTTTATCCACAGCCACATATTCTCTTGTAAGCTGTTAGCTTCTTAAAAGTGCAACACACTGTACGGTATATCCAAATTCAAGTCATACGAACACGTCAAACATTACCTTTTAAACTAATAAAATCAGGCATAGGAGCTTAATATTCAATTATCAATATTTGCCTTGCAATTATAAGAAGCACCACTAGAAATTAACAAGTCTTCTATACTAAACACAAAGAGTTATCATTTACCCCAATACCCAAAAGCTTCCTTGTCTCAGCATCGAGAGCACCAGGCCTTAAACCATCATATTTTCCAGCTGGAGAATTCTGATAATATCGTGTTGAATTGCGAGAATTAGCATTCTGATTTCGTTTGAACTTGAGCTGTTTGCGGGCATTATTGACAGCAACATGGTTACGAGGCTTAGGGCAATCCTTCAACGAATGATTGTAAGAACCGCAATTGAAACAACGGCTTGCATCATCTATAATCTCCAAGCCTCTACAACATTAAATAAGAATGAAAAAGATCTGTAAGGCATTCTAACAAACACAAATTTTACTTTAAAATAGAAGTGATGCTCAAGACAGCCATAAAATGGAATCAAATATTTCACCAACAAGATTACCATATGAAGCAGCCTATATGTCATGCAATGACGAGATTAAGGATTTAATGAAGGCCTCTACTTAGACACCTGATGCAAGAAGCCCACTCACCCTTTACCTATTCATTATCATGTTTTTTTTTTGGTCTGGTTGTTACTACCATCCAAAAGATCAAGGACATAAATGTCTATGAGAAGATTAAATCAAAACATGGTAAATAAGGAACCCAATACAAAACTTTCAACAGCTAAATAAAGTAATACTGCCATCACACAAGAAAAAACCAATGGCACAATGCTAATGTATTATTAGAGCTGAATGAAACTTAGCAAGAGCACAAACATATTTGTAATTAACAAAACCAAGTTTGCTATTTGCAATAAGTGCACTTGAAAGAAGAGATCAGGTCTAGGTTTTGTGGGAGGAAAAGATCGAAGAAGAGATCATATAATCAATCCATCACCATCTTCAAGGAATATTACATGTATCAAAAATTTGTTGGGGAGTTGAAAGGTTCTCATTGTAATTGAGAGACCTATAATGCTAGTCTAAGAGGGAGGCATCTTCAGTTATGCATATTTGTAAGTACTTAAAGGCAAGAGAAGAGAAGAAAGAATTTATAGAATTCTTTTCAGCAGCATATGCTGCAGTGTAGGATTGTGTCAATCGAGTCCTAGGGTGATGACTAGAATCCTTCTAGTGCGAAGGTAGTAGTCATTCTGCCTTGTCCTGAACCATAGATCCTTGATTTCTATCAGCGCATATTTTAAGTAGACATGCCAATACAATGTCTCATCGAGCAGGCATTTTATTATCAGTCAGCTTTGTTGACATTGCTACATTCCTATTTTACTTTTTTTTTTGGTCTAAATTCCTATTGTACTTGAGATCACATAATATAGGGGGGGGAAGTGTTTACCCCTCCAAATTACTTGAGCCACCAGCCAAAGTCAAGCCTAAGGCATAACCACGATCATATAGAGGCACATAATTGCTATCCAAAGGAGTGGATTCCTTGCTCTCTGCATTCCTTGTTTGGTTGTCCATCCAAAAAGACTGCACATGAAAG